GGCGGGCGGGCGGCACAACTCACGGTAGTTGAATCACAGGCTTCTCGTCCGGCCCCGAGCGTGGCTCAACGGTCAAGATGGCGCGACGCTATGCGGCAATGACGCCGACGTGATAACCGCGACTCGACGGCGCCGCGCGGCTACACCGGCATAGATAGCGCAGGCGACGCCGGCTGGCAGACAACGCAGCTGGTGCGCGCAGATGCTCGTGCACGTGAGCTGCAGGCACGGCTCGGCCGCCCGACACGAGGTGGCTACGGGACCGCTCGCCTAACGCGACAAAGACGGGCGGCGATTTAGACAAACTGGCTGGCAAGGTCACGCCTGCGCTACAAGGTGGCAACAAGCAGTGAGCACCTCTGCGACGACACCAAGACCCGAAAGACGGTGGATCACAAGACACCGGACCAGCTAGCCTGAGGTGAGGTCGTGTACGAATTTTAAAGCGTAAAAACCAACCAATTAGAGCTCGGTTGAGGTTAAAACAAGAGTTCAAGATCCTAATAGGTACTAAGGGCTTCTTGTCCGAGCAACGAGCACGGCCGGAGAGTGAGCATCGAGGGAGATAGATAGGTGCCAACATGGGCTCATCACGCTAAGCGCTGGTTCATGAACGGAGCACCAACAGCCTAGTCACAGCGCGTTCTTAGGATGTTAGGGCAATTTTTGCGACACCACGACAACTCCAACTCATCCGTGAACTACACCCTACTAAAGCACTCACTTAGAGGCAACCAACAAAACGAAATCGTGGAGCATTGGAGCTAGTGCTTAAGTATTTTAGTTAAAACGTAAACGCCAAGATGACATTGCCTTCTTCCTTCTAGTCTTAAAAGGTCCAGAGAGCTCGGCTTGCACTAACGTCCATTAACATATTTGCCACAATTTTTAATTTGTCTAAACCTTATTAACTTCAACAAAAAAATTACTACATGCGATAGCCCATACTTTACACTAAACCACAGGAACAAAATACTTAAGCACTATTTAACTATTTTGCTCAATATAATTTGCAAAAAATGACATTTTAAACATAAGTTCAAATTCTTGCCAATTCAACGAAAATGCTGATTTTTAGTTTCAGATTCGATTTTTGAGCTCTCAAGAACACTAGTTAACAACATTTGTTTTCAAAAATTAAAGTTGCATTTTCAACTATACTTGCTCATCATCTTTACTTAAGTACTACACACAAGCTATATTTTATTTTTGTTTATAGAAATTGTTTTTCGTACCAAACAATTAAAACTACTTATTTTATTCTTCTTGTTAGGATTTTCATTAGCACATTAACGCAATGAGTAAATTAACTTAAATATTTATTTGATTTCTCTCAACCATAAAAGGAGTTGCACAGGGTTTGTTTATCATTTCATGTGTGTTTTATTTTTTAAAAAAACTCAAGAACTGATTTGCTAATTTCTCTCGGTACTAAGCAAGCTCGTAACACCCGGGGTGTTACAATGGTAGAGGTATTAACTAATAATTCAAAAGTCTAGTCATAAGACATTCTCAAACGCCCAAAAAACCTAGGCTGAAGCATTGATGCTTGAAATCAATACAGATTATAAAAAGAGGCCCTTGACATATAAGGAAAAACTAACACTAATATTCATGTTCAAGTTCAGGTTTAGAAGCTAGCATGCATGGTTTAGCATCCTAACAAATGACCTAGAGCAGTATGTAAGGTTAGCACCATGTAATTTATTAGAGAAGAAATAGTAACGAGCTCTGGAGGATGAGCAAATCTGTAACTAAATAACAGAAGGAAGATGGGCATACATGTGCAGACGGATATGTATCTATAGCCGTAGGACAGGAACAATAGATATGGACATCAAAAAGAATAACCCATAATAGCAGGTGGTACTACATGCATAGAAGTAGATGGCATAAACAATATACATATTATAGAATATCAAGTAAATTTAGGCATTTTGTTGCATATTCCTTTATTTGACTGAGTACCTGTTTGTATTATGGAGAGACCATCTGAGCATGCCTACTTTAACATGTCCCAATAGCTTCAAGATGGGCTAACCGGCTGAGTGAATTTGGATACATCACTTGCTTCTTCATCAACCTCTATATGCAATAACGAACTCTCGTGAGTAGTAGTCTGGTTGCTCCTATTCGAAATGAGGAACAAGAGACATTACCAGCCACATACAATAAACCTAAGATTAGATAAACTTCCAAAGCAAGAAAACACTGACCTTCGTTGTATTTCTTCCTCAGGCTTGCAGCTGCAGGTACTCCAATTAATTGAGTTGAAAGAGGACCAATGCACATAATTGAACCGAAAACTCAAACAAACAGCAGAGCCAAAAGCATGAGAACGTAATAGTTGGGAATAGGGCATGCGCTCAGAACTAACAATATATAATCTGTCGTCACAACCAACGATCATAGACAATGATCACAAGGCCGTAATGAACAAGAATATATCTATCACTTCTCGCAAGTAAACACAAACTCAAACAACACAATTATGTGTTTATTGACATCGTAGGTAACGATCATAAGCAAGTGTGAGTGGAAAACAAAAGGAAATCATGAGAGTACAGAAAGGAGGAAATCATCACTCTCACTGGTATCTCCATACTTAGAATAGATAAGAAGAGACGCCAAAAAAAGGAACAACCAATTGACCATCACCCCAACTATCATGGAATAGGTACAAAGAGATGACAAAAATAGAATTTAGAGCTCATGATCATTGGCTCATACGTCATGTATAAAAGAAAGGAAGAGCAATCATTGCATCAAATACTGAACATAATTTATGGTGTAATCATCACAGCAGCAGCCCATTTCCTCAAAGTAAAATGTCACAGGAAGAGAAAAGTGTATTCATCATTGCAAGTGACCAAAATGCAAAGAGTAAACCAGAAATCACCAGGAATGCAGTGTAGATAGCCTCATTTTTTTATCGTACACTGAGACCTGAAACAAATACCATCGGCATCGTCACATGCTCAGATCCATGGCACAACAATTGCCTGCTCTCAAGACTCGCCGAACCGAGTAGGCCACTCCCTACACAATGCAAAACAATTTGTATTAACATATATCGTTTGGTGAGAACAACAATAGATCTAGGGTGAAACTGGCCTTGCCTTATTTGTTTGCCTCCTTTCACCAAGATACCCCCTCCAAATGTCACATGCAGTGAAAAATAATGCAAGGGAGCAACGTCACCGCACTGAGGTAAGGAGAGAGAAGGGTAGGTGTAGTGATCCGGCGAGCCGATGACACGAGGAACAGCGGAGCCGCGTGAGGCACCTGCACCAGCCCGCACGGGGTGGGGGTGGGGAGGAGCCGTGGCCCACGTCGATGGCCATGCTACGTCGCCGGCGCCGTGCTGTGCGGAGGTCCCTTGCCAGGGGCCATCGACCGCTGGGCGCGCTCGTGCCGCTGTGCCGCACAGGGGTTGGGGGCGCAGTCTCCACACCTGCTCGCAGCGCGGGGATCCACCGGGGCCCGCTGTCGGGTGGCACGCCGCCACGTCGGGAGCGAAGGCGAGAGAGAGAGATGCGCGCGCCACGCGGGAGAGGACAACGGCTACCGGCCAGTGGCTACGCCCAATGTCGAGGCCTGGCTGCGCCGGTGCGCCAGAGGACGGCCGCCGCTTGGGACCGGCCGGTGCGCCGCCAGATCTGGAGGGAGGGAGGGAGAGAAAGAGAGAGGGGGGAGGAGGAAGGGGCGAGAAGACGACAGCCTCGGTAGATATTTTTAGCCGCACGTGTACGGAGGTAACGTATAGGAGGTAACAGGGCATCTAGACGTCCAAGCTGCAATCAAACGGACCAAAATAATTTTGCTACCGTGGACAGCCTGGTTGGCAGCCAAACTAACCTGCTTTGATAAGAGTAGAAACAAGGAAACCTGATAAGAAATTGCTTCAGCAACAGCACACTGTTTGCCATAAAAAAAGATTGAAAATAGCTTGTTGAAGCCACAGCTGCTCCTCGTGCCTTGTTGCAGGTTTGGTATGAAATTTGGAAAGAACTTTCAAAACAAAACAAAACAGATACAAGGTAGAGCTCCTGGCTACAGATTTTCTCGACGAGAATCACTCCACAGTACCGGTAGCCAAACGGTAAAAAAAAAAGGGCTCCATCAAAGAATCCGACAGCATCGATCTCACTTTTGCACTGCGCCCTTGTAAGTTCGTGAAATTTGGATTTTGGGGCGACTGTAGCACCTTCGTTTTTATTTGGCAAATAGTGTTCAAACATGAACTAATTAGAAGAACAAACGTTGCCCGTCTTCACAATTTCCAATGCAAATCACAGGCAATTAGTTTTTCGCTTACATTTTAACGCCCACGACGAGCCGCAAACATTCGATGATGATACATCAGAAGAACCTTTTGAAGTTGGATGAAACTAAGCCCTTGTTTAGTTCGCGAAAATTTTTCCCAAAGTGCTTTGATCGACTCACATCGAATCTCACAGACGCGTACTGAGCATTAAATGTAGATGAAAATAAAAACTAATTGCACAGTTTGGTTGGAAATTGCGAGACGAACGTTTTGAGCCTACTTAGTCCATGATTGAACACTAATTGCCAAATAAAAACGAAATTGCTACAGTAGCCAAATTTCACACTTTTCGCGAACTAAACGCGCGCTAAACAAGGTCCTGGTAGCGAAAAAACCTGCTCCCCGCACTCCCACGCCCGCTCCATAGTCCCCACCATTCGCGTCATGAAACTCCCCGTCAAGTTCGTCAAATTTACCCACCATTGCCACTGATATATAACAAAAAAATATCCCCTCTCCTCTCCCTCTCCCATCCGTTCCCCAACCCAGCTGCCGCCAGCCCACTAGCGCGCACAAGCTCCGCGGTTCAGCGATGGCGCGGCCCCCGCCCTACGCCGCCTGGGCCCGCGCCGGCATCATCGGAGACTGCCCTGTCCTGCTCGCCGGAAGGAGCTCCGGGTCCCTGCTCACCTGAAGGCCGGCCTCGCCGCCAGCGAGGAACCCGTCCGTGCAGTAGGCGTCGTCGGTCAGGATCCCATCCTGCTGCTCCCCTGCAACGAACGCCGCCCTGCCGGCTCCACTGGTCCCTGCAGCCGGCGCCGGCGACCTGCATCCCGGCTAGGCACTCCCCCCGAGCCGAAGGTGAGGGCCCTGCTCTCTCTCCCCTTTTTCCCCGTCAGATCTAAACTTTTTTTAGTGGTGGATTGAGAGTGTATGTACCAGTAGATTATCATGTATAGGAGGACACCCCGCTCTCCCCTCCCCCCGTCGGATCTGCAGTTTTTGCAATTTTTTTTGATACACTGAGACACATATACAAGTGACGTGTACTCGGGTGGATGGGTGAGTTTGCTGTTGTTGGTTGCAATAATTTTTAGGGGATTACAGAACAGTTTTTGGGGTTGCACTCAATTTGCTGGTGTTGATTTGTTTGACCTATGTGAATCTTCTAATTTTCTACTCCTATGAAAGAACCACTACTGCTTGATAAACATCCATTTTATATTAGATTGAAATCATTATACAGACTTGTGCCGGTGCATTACTACGGGGAGCTAAATTTTTTTAATACAATAAGAGGAGAATGACAATTAACAAGCACCACTTGTGTCCATATAACTGTTAATTGGATTCACATTATTCAATCAAAATAAAAGGTCACTGGTCCACATGTGCCACACAAAATAACAGGTCATTGGTTCACAAACCAAGCAAAATAACACTGAGGGGCACCACATAATCACCTTTTGTTAGATCAAGCAATGTCAGATTTGTTAATTCTCAAGGGAAAACTAATGGATCATTTGTCTACTTCCATTCTCACAAGTTGCCTGTGCAAACTGTCAACAAAGCATCTCAGAATTTGCACGTGTAGTCAAATGGAACTATTGTAGCCTAATATGATGTATTAGCTGGTACCGTTGCAACAATCTCAAAGTTGCAGGAGTCTCTGCAATAGCACAGAGTAATTAGAATTGTGAGTAGACAATGCACAAAGTAATTAGAATTGTGAGAAAACAATCTCAGGGTTGCAGGAGCCAGCTTTACGATTTGTTTGGGTGCCATTTACTTTGCTAATATCCATTTATTAGTTTTATTATGGGATTAGTTTTCCAAGTAGTTGTATTGTACTTGTATCTGTTTATATACCCTGGTTTTGTCAATGGGTATGATGATGGATTGTGATTGTGTTTGTTGCAGCTCAAGGACTTGCCAAGGCTGTATTGGACTCACAATAATCTCACTGTCATGGATGTGACGCCCTTGTGGAACCACTCATCCGATGCTCTGTTATATGCTCACCATCCTTCTCACATGGTGAGCAGTTTAGAAAGAGAGAAAGCGGTTCATTTAGTTATTTATTTATTATTACCCAAGTGTTCCAAACATATGAGATTTTGCTATCGCAGGTGGATTTGAATAAATCACAGAATCCAGATGGTTTTAGCCATTGTCATGAGCTAGGCAGGAAGGCCCCTCATTTCCTCGCCAATGGGGTCTCATGGGGAATTTGGATGCCAAGGGCTCGATTCCCGAGGAAGCAAGTGTTCCAAACAGATGAGGTTTTGCTATCGAGGTGGATTTGAATAAAACACAGAATCCAGATGGTTTTAGCCATTGTCATGAGCTAGGCAGGCAGGCCCCTCATTTCCTCGTCAATGGGGTCTCATGGGGGAATTTGGATGCCAAGGGCTCGATTCCGAGGAAGCAAGTGTTCCAAACAGATGAGGTTTTGCTATCGCAGGTGGATTTGAATAAAACACAGAATCCAGATGGTTTTAGCCATTGTCATGAGCTAGGCAGGCAGGCCCCTCATTTCCTCGTCAATGGGGTCTCATGGGGGAATTTGGATGCCAAGGGTTCAATTCCGAGGAAGCCTGACTCTTGCAGTGTACAGGGAAAGTCTGGTTGCCACTATATCATTGATTTAGAGAAACCAGCCACATTGGATTGCGGTGTACAGGGAAAGTCTGGTTGCCACTATATCATTGATTTAGAGAAACCAGCCACATTGGATGATGAGGATGCAGACTATGCTAACCACAATGGCGGTCTTTCAGATAATTCACAGTGTGTTCCACTGGATAGCTCTTCTTTGATGCGTGGTTGCTTATGCACAGATCAAAGCGCCCCTTATGTTACTTCTGGTTAGTTCATCAAAATTCCTCCTTATCTTTGCCCTGCTTAGAGTATCATACTTCATATATCTCCGGAGATTCCAAATGCTGTTGCAAATTGCAATGGTACTACTAGAATTCGCATGTGTATCGATCAATGCACAGCAAAGCAATTTTCTGTTAATACTATAGATAGACTACTTCTTTTCAAAGAATAACACACAACAAAACCTTAATATGGAAAGGCTCTACATATGTGTATATGGTTAGGTTACAGTCTTGTTAGGACTTGAATTGAAATTGGGATAGGTGGTTATGGATAAAGTTTAGGCCATGCTTTGTATCCACCCATAAATATGAAAGCGCTACTGTTGTAACCGTGAGATGATCTGATGGCTGGTTTCTGCGACGGCGGCATCTTGATGCAGCTGGAGCTGCTGTTTATTGGGGAGGAGCGCTGATAGACATTGCCCTGGGATTTAGGCCACATGGCTGAATGTTAGGATATATCATACACGGTGGTTATTATGCAGTAAGACCTCATGGCGTGCATATTTGCCAAGGTGGAGCTGTTAGATTTGTGCTGAATATGTGTATGGTTAGTTACAACAGGACAGCCCATAAATATTAGGGCACCACCTTGGCACCTTTATAACTGTGATACAACTTGGTGGCTAGTTTAGATGGCTGCTCTGGTCTGACAGCATCCTAATGCCGTGTAGCTGCTGATTACAGATTTATAGGAAAGGGCGCCCATAGTCATTGCGCCACAGATGTAGGCCGCAAGGCTGAGCCTTATTAACAATTTTTGTGCCTCAGTGTTGTTTGTTGTGTGCTTCTTTGATCTATGCCACTTGTGATCTTGTGCGCTTTCACATCAATTGATTTGATGCCGTCAGCGTGCTGCATCGATGATTTTCTAACAGAATTCATATCTGAATGCTCTTGCAATGGTACCACTAAAAGGGCTCTGCCTTCAATTTCTGAGCTCTTAATAAGTTATCCTGTGCTGTTAGTCAAACTGATTGCTGCAAGAATATCTTTTTGTGCTACACTTACATCTACTTCTTGTGCACTGTGTGTTGTTTATTGCACACTTGATTAGTGTAAGATTCTCATGAGGTATTTGATTGACTCTTCCAATCTTCTATATGCAGGTTCAGTTGGTTCCAGTGATACTCCAGACAGTCATTCACCTGCCATAACAAAGAATACAGCATCTGGACGCATGTTTATCGATCTGAATGTAGCCCAGGAGGATGATTTTAATTTTTGTCCTGATCCCTCCAAATTGGTGTGTTCTACTTCAACTGGTTCTGCTACAAGACAGTCTGGAGGTTTTTGCAACAATTCGAGCAAAACATTCCTCAAAGGAAGTGAATCTAGTATCGGATCATCGAAAGGATCCTCTGGAACAGTCGCCACGACTATCACTGTTCCAGATAGTTCAAGGGAAGTGTTGGCTGCAGGTGTATTTCGTGATTTCCAGAGCCACAAGCCTTTCTTTATGGAAACATCAACTCCACTTCCCAGAAAAAATACCCGTCATCTGATGATTTCCAGATTGGAGTCTCAGGGTTGTATGGAAATGGAAGTACCACGGAAAGAATTTTCAGTTCGTTCCAGCGGTGAAAATAATTCTTATTCAGGTTTAACTAAACTGGGAGGCGGCCAAGTCACAAATTTAATGGGACAAGTACAAGCAGCTGTTGTTGTACATAGGGATAACCAAGAGGAAACTATAACAGTAATATCTGATCACAAAGTGGAAGGCTTTGACCTAAATGTAGCAGTTGAGAGCACTGATTTTCCAGCAAATTTTGAAAGCAGTTATTTAAGGCAACATGTAAATAATGATGGCAGACATTGTTTGGCTCAGAATGAGGCTCAGCAAAATATTGCTCCCATTGAATGTCCAGTTGTTAGAAACCAGAACATGGCTGTTAAGAGCACGGATGGTGAGGATGTACAGAGTCCAGTTTCTGGAATTGCAATTAACAGGTCTGTTGTGATCCCGGAAACTCCTCAAGGTCGCGACTATGCATGTCCACGATCGAGATCGTCATGTAATGCAGCATCAGTTGCGCCTGAAGCTGTCAGCTTTGATGAAACGGAGATGGGAGAGTTCGAAAAAAGTGCTGCTACAGCAGCTGAGACACTTGTTTCCATGTTTGCGAGCAACTCTGCATGGTTGACAGATGGCCCTGGAAGCAATGGTGAAACATACGCTGAGGATGCAACACAGGAACCTGCACCTTCATTGAATTCTTTTGAGGAAAGCATACTGAGCCTAGGAGGAGATGAAAGATGATGGGGAATCGGTCCCAGTGAGAGCACCCGACAACGATGGGCTTTCGTGTGGGATTAAGCTGAAGAGAGAGGAGGGGGTTGAGAGATTTCAGAGGGAAATATTGCCTGGGCTTGTGTCCCTGGCGAGGCATGAGATATGTGATGACTTGCACTCCATAGGATACGAAATCAGGAAAACTTCGGTCACGGAGAAGCCCTGGTGATGAGGGTAGTCCACCAACACGAATACGACTGCCTAGGCGTTGTTCTACCGCATGGAACCGATGAACGAGAAGTCCTCGATGTCACACTGTGACTTCATCTCACAGCATGCAGCGACAAGCAGCAGGAAAAGCAGAGTTAGCTTTGAAGGACGCCTGAATCTAACTGGCTTCGTCACGAGGTGCGCTGAGCATGCATTGCCGGAATGAAACCCGTTGTATCAATAGCCATTTGATTGGAGAGATTTGTTTCAATTGTAATCTGCAACTCGCGCCAAAGGCAAATCGTCGTGTTAGATGTAATTGTGCTTTAGGAAGTGCATATCTGAGTGTTAGCAACTGGTGGTAAAGCTAATCTCCTTTTGTCTTATCTTTGCCGCTGGATCTTGTACTATACGTAGCTTCCTGCCTGGTGGGATGATGAATGGGCTAGCTCCATAGAATTGAATTGAATGGAATGGAATAAAAGGTTGGCTGTGTGTTCTTATTGCACCTTTCACTGCAGATAGAGCTGCCTGTGGTCTGTTTGTCATTGAGCCATTGAGGTGGCTGCTGATCGCTGTACGGCGTGTGCAAATATATGCCTGCCATGTCCAGACCATGAGCCGGAAGGGCTATCGACAGAAGTTACAAGCAAGGTCAGATCATATGGGCCTGTTCGGCGGCCGGTTTTTACAGCCAACAGCTGGCTCTCACAAAATTGCTGTGCTGACACTGCGTTTACAAGCAGCATAGGAGTATGATGTGGCGCGTTAGTAAAACTAGGACAGTAGGTGCGCTCTGCCACGCCTTTTTTTTTTTTTGATCGGCTGCCACGCCTGTTTTAGCTCTGTGTTGATGTGTATTATATCTTGTCCACCCTGCATCTCTGCAACTGAATTATATCTTGTCCACCCTGCATCTCTGCAACTGATGCAGGTAATTGGTAGAGAGGTTTACTAATGTGCATCTACCCAAATAAGAATATTTCGCAGAAATATATAGCAATGTAACCGTAGTTTAGGGTCTAGCTTTTAACGTGGGGCCCATATTTAAATGTAGCTGCACTAGTCTGCACAAAGTTGTAGACTACTATAGTGAGTTATTTCACTAAGTTTCAGTTAGTTTCACTAAAATTTAAGGTGTGAATGCGAGATTTTCAATCCAGGAGTCCAGCTTTGATATGCAGTCTACATGTATATATAACAGGTATATATGTAAAATATTAATAGAAATTAATAGTTCAAATCAAAACAATGAATATGGATAAAATTGTTATTATCCAATGGGTATGGATAAGATTGGGGAGGATGAGAAATGAATAATGATATATTATGGATTTGAACATGAATAAGCATGGATTTATCCATACCTTCCCCAGTGTCAGATATACTCATGGATGTAATGCTGTTAGCAGAGAAACAGTTATTTGATGCAGGCAGGCAGAGTAAAGAAAGCGAGAATCCATCATTTTTATTCCATTGGGCCAAGTCATTGTCTCACGCACCGACAGCGACAGGTCAGAGTCGGTGATGTAGCAACGTAGGGGCTAAGCGGAGTTCATTTTTAACTTTGTCCTATGTTGAACTTGTCTTACTTTGACTGTTTTTTTAAAAATAAATTAACATTTACAATATCAAAAAATACACTACCAGTTGATGTTGTAGATGCTTGTGCATTTTTTTGTGTGTAAACTTAGTCAAAGCTAGAGAAATTAGGAGTCTACCTTACATTCTCAAAGAGCCCCTGCAGCCACCGCTCTTTGCTCTCGCCACCGTTGTCGCAGCTGTCAATGGCCCCTCTCGATCTTCCTTGGCAAGTTTGTTGACGACAAGAATGAGAGGGGACCATCTCTTCCTAGCAGTTTTTTAGATCTAGATTGTTTTAGTGTTTAGCCAAATAAGTCCATTGAAGAAATCATATGATTTTCGTTTAGCATCTTGTTATCTGCGATGACTTCGGTGATTGCTACAGTGAGGTGGCCATTGTAGCTAGGCATCTATTTTATTGATAAGAGTCTAATTTGTGGCCATTATCTATAAGGGGAGGTTTGCTTTTGGACACTCCCCATATGAACAGTACTTAGTATCATCGACATCATTGTTGTTGGCTGTGGAGAGGAAATCAGGCATACATAACTAATCAAGGGTGGGAGGAGATGAACCTACAACATATGTTGTACCTCGCCATACAATTGTCGATATTCTTTCATCATTTTAGATATGTTTTGGATTGATTCCGAAATGTTAGATCTTGCGGCATGTGCAATGTTTTAGGGTTGATTGTTAAATTCATCATAATGATTGCACTTTTGGTTTCGTGTTCCTGTGGGCTAACAACTTCTACTTGGAGTTATCAGTACACACAAAGTTATAACCTGAAAGAGATAAGGGGAAAGAAAATAACATTTAACCAGGAGAGAAAATTTTGTACTGATTAATTAAAAAAATTTGGACATGGGAAGCATTTCATAAAAACAGAAAGTTGCCTCTAATAATAAGAGCCACACTTGGACCTATGACTAAAAAATTTAATAAGTTGCGGTGGCGGATCTCAGGCACAAAAGAATCATGACATTTCATAGATAACTTACGATCTGAAAATTGAATTCTTATTTTCTCCAGTGGTATGCCATTAGCATTCAAGACCTTCAGAACTTTGAGTACTATCCCATCAACATCTTTGCATATGATTTCAGCATTCTGAAGATGTCTAGGTGCAATTGATTTTTCCAATGGATTGTAACTTCCCTCTTTTCATTAAAGTCTTGTGTGCCTAAAGCAAATCAATAATTTACTCAATCAATGAACAAAATCAAAATAACGACTAGATATGTGGTACAGAGTAACAAGTTAATGATAGCACCTTTGACATTCTAAGGGTAAGCTTCTCCAAAAGAGGGGTGTGGTGCAAGAACCAAATCAGTGCACTGAGGTCAGTAGACACAAACCATTTGCTAAGCACCAAAGTCTTTAACTTGTTAAATGCAGGGCACCACTCCAAATCCCTGCTGAAAACATACTAGGAAAAGTACAAGGATGTAAAGTCAAACAATGAGTACAATGGGGAAAAAACACAATCTTCAATCATATACTGGTTAATAAGCCAGGGAATAAGGCTCTGTTCGGCTGATACATAAGCCGGCTGAAACTGTTTTGTTGTGAGAGAAAAATACTATAGATTCTAGCTGATAAGTTCAAGCAAACATGGCTCCATATCTTTTTGTAGAGGTGCATCTAAACTATTCTATATAAAAACATTCCTATGTTTTCTAATCTGAACAACCCCTTCCGAATCTAAGATCACAAATCAATAACTAGGCCTCTCATTTTTAGCTGAACAATATTATCAGTAACTGTAGAAGAACACAAGGTTCAGTGATGTTTGATTGAAATCAGAGCATTTGAATTGAATGAAACAACTGAAATTGTCAATGCAATCGAAAAATCAAAAACATGGGATGCAGCTGCAAGCGTACCAGATCAGGATAAGCTGACAAATTCAAGTAAGTAGCTTCAGCCAAGCCATGAAGAAACACGCTGCCGGAATCATCAGGGACATAGTAATAAAAGCAACCCCCACAGGCAGCATCTCCACAGTCATCCAAGCGACCATTTTTACATCGATCATCGTAACGATGATTGAATCGAACTTTGGCAGCTTCCAAGTGCGGCATTCTTTCAAGCATTGGAGCCCTTCCGAAATTAGTAATGAACTCGAACGAGACGAGGCTGGGGAACGACATCCCAGCGCGGCAGTTGGAATAAAAGAAGCAGTATTTAACACTCAGATGCTTCAGGGAGGGGGAGTGCATTTCCGTCGACCAAACGCAGCACGCCTCCATCTTGAGACGCTCCAGCGCGGAGCATCCAGAGAAATCAACGGCGTTGTTGCCCTGGACACTCGTGAGCTCCAAACTCGTGAGGAGCTGGGAGGACGATGAGGACATGACATCTATGTATACGACTATGTTTGCGCATGGTATAGAGAGGTAGGAGATCAGTAAAGGTGTCCAAGTCAAGAAGGAAGCCCGAGGCTAATTCGGTTTGAGTCCTCGAGGTGGAGGCCCAAAGCAACTCAAGTTCGAGCCCATCTCGGAGTCCAGTACCAGTCTGCCTTAAACTGGTCACCCAGGACTCATCCGGACTCCGTTTTCGACGATCCACATATGGATAGAAATTTAATTAGATAAGTAAGCCAATATAAGTGGTCTCACGTCAAAAGCCCTTCGGAATCAACGGGAATCGACGAAACAAGTCAGCGTCCAAAATCTGTAAGGATGTTGCGACACCGTCTTTTGGTCCGTTGGACCATGTATTGTATTTGGGCCCATTATGGGGCACGTCCAGGGGGTGACGCCCAAGACTCTATAATTATCAGCCGTCGCTCTCCTTAGAGTTTGGGTTTTGTTTAGTTCTTGATTTCCTCGTGAAACAGACATCGTTTTGCTGCAACTGTGCTGCCAAGACTGCTTGCTGTAAACCAAAGTCTCAGTTCTTGATCTTGTTCGCCTGTGGTGATTAGTCCTTTCGAATAAAGACTTCAACTCCTTTTTGTTATCATAAGCCTCATTTATTTGCAATTTCAGATTGCGTTTATCTCGTTCTTGCTTGTGTTTCCGATTCACTTGCAGGAAAGCCTTCTCGGCGAGGTCAATCGTGTTCGCGTTGTTGATAACCAACGAAGCAGTGGTGTAACGATTGCGGGGGTCCGAATCAGTCTTGGTTCGAAGCCTAGATCGTGAATGTCGAGTCTCCACCAATCGACGCTATCATACCTTTCAAAAGATCAGACCTTGTCTACATCAAGTGGTATCAGAGAC